TAGCATTAATCAGACTTAGATAACACCATTTTTTATAACACAGTTTGCCTTACATCCTTAAATAATGGATATATCTGACCTGTCAATCAAACTGGATACACTGACCAATCAATAGTAGGTATCGATTTCACTGCGTAGTTGCTATCCACCATATTTTCTCACAAACATGAAACTACAAATGAGCACTCGTATTACATTGCAGAGGCGTTTGAATGTTTACGCAGAAAATCACTGAAAATTTATGAGAAAAATGAATCGCCGTGGCGCTTAGGGCACATAAGATGCAGTTTGTCATTATTATTAAAGGATTCAAAAGGAAGTCTTTTAAAAAAATGTTAACAAAACACCAACTTTTAAACGTATGCATTGGAAGTGATGAATTATTTATTACTATAAATCATCTATATCATGCCATTGATATATGGTTTTTTCCATTGGACTTTAAAGCTAATCTCTTGCAAATTACTGATTTTAAAACACCTCCAAAAATATGACCTCAATATTGCACAATTAAACGATTAACACTAATTAGCAAGCAAAGGTCAAATATATCCCGCCAACTTGCATGTTGTTGCATATTTCGATGTGCCATAATTATTTCCTTCCTTTTAAAGAGGTTTTTATGAATGATAGTTTTGCATGAATCTAATATAATTCAAGTTTACTGGTTTGTCAATGACACCCTTATGAAATGTTATATCCGTCTAGCTGCGGAGACATGTCACCGCGGCGTAAAGAACATAAAACATTTCTTTCAATCACTCAGTTAAATTGGTATAACGTGTTTATTTATTTATTTAGCTTTAATATTTATTGTCCTTAAGATAATGAAATCATTAATTGTAGATATAGAAACACTTGTTTTATTCTTATATGACAAGTACACGTGACATAAAGGTAACAGGTGCATAACGAAAGTTTTATTTTAATTTTATTTAAAGTACCAAAACCCTATTAGAAAATCGGATATTTAATAAGAATGCATAATTTTGCAAGAGCAGAAAGATTTTGTTATTTTGTCCTTTTGTAACAAAATGCTATCTTCTAGTTTTTCAGGATGTTCGTTTTTATACATAGATCATCAGCAATATGTTGTGACTTTCATCTGAATTTTCACCATCGAAAATGCTTCTTTCATGAATATATTATTTTGTATAGTAATTTAAGGTTTTCTTTAATGCACGATCGAAAATAATATTGCAAATCAGGTAACAAGTTTTCAGAAATATTGTCTAAAATATTTATTTTCCAATGAATATGCTTTTGATGCTGCTGGACGATCCACCATTTTATGGGATAGCTTTTGAGTCACTGCAACATTGACTAAGTGGGGTTCAAAATCGGAACTGTCCATTGTTTTCTTTTTCACAGTTTCCGTTATGCTCTGCAACACAAATTACTTTTTTGTTTCTGTTCTTTATCATCATACTAGTCTGAAATAAAAGCATAGATCACCTAAACCTCCGAGTTAGTATCAGTAAAAATGATTACTAATCTCTCGAAACACATTTCACTATTTACTAATTATTTTGTAATCATACAAATTTGTATCACGGGATTCGAATATGGAAAGATAAAATCATGAAAAATATTTTATGGATACAAATTAAAAATTTAAGAAAATAAATTCCAACTAAGAAATTGCATATTTTCATGCAAAAAGAATCAATTTATGGGAAAAATCTTGAATATTTTTCAATTGCAAATTCCAATATTCATCATTTCGTTATGCCACATGGTGATGCTGAGGCGCTTGCAAGTCTCAGATCCGTGCTGGTATAGATTTAGGAATGTTTAAAGAGATATGCTTTTATTTTACAAGACAAAATGTTATAATGATACATTTGATTACAAAATGTGATTACAGCTCAAAATTTCTCTATTTCAAAATCCACACAAGAAAGTTAGTTTCACTAAAAATGTAAATGTAACCGATTTTGTAAAATCAATTTATATAAAACTGGTTAACCTTTTAAGCGAAGAATTGCTTTATTTTTGATGCCAAATATAAAATTGTTTTACTGTTTTACTGTTTTATATTCCACACAAAGACAAGTTTTGATAATGTTATAAATTTTGCTTAACAGCTAGAACTGCAGATGATAATCAATTTAGAAAATAAACTAGTGTTGTTACCATCCTAGAGTGCTGATGGGAATAAGTGTATAAGTGTGTGTTTAAAAATGTGATTTGTGCTCTCTCTCTCTCTCTCTCTCTCTCTCTCTCTCTCTATATATATATATATATATATATATATATATATATATATATATATATATATATATATATATATATAAAGAATACAAATCATATGGCGAATAACAACACTTTCAAGCGTACTGGATCCACCAAGGGATCACGTGTGTCAGAGATTTATTAAAATAGATGCAATAAACTGACGACGAACAGTACGAAATTAGTAACTAACTAGCCTAAGCGCTTTCGACTCTTAATGAGCCTTTTTCAAAGGCAAATACAAAACATATATACGACAAACAAATAAACACAAAAACGTTGTGTTTGTAAACATCTACATGACTGTCTCCACATGTGTTAAAACTATAAATACAACCAGCTTGTATAGACTAGTTGCTGAGACTCATGTAGAGGTTTACAAACACAATATTTTTGTGTTTATTTGTCTGTCGTATATTTGTTTTGTATTTGCCTTTGAAAAAGACTCATTAAGAGTCAAAAGCGCTTAGGCTAGTTAGTTACTAGTTTCGTACTGTTCGTCGTCAGTTTATTGCGTCTTTATATATATATATATATATATATATATATATATATATATATATATATATATATATATATATATATATATATATATATATATATATATATATATATATATATATATATATATATATATATATATATATATATATATATATATATATATATATATTCAATCACATGTCCACCCTACCCACCCACTCCACTCTGTGTAAGTTATCAATTATACAAATTTAGATTTCAAACGTGGGAAGAATTTCATATTACCGTCAGTCTTTAAAACATTGGAGGCGGCTGAAAAGTAACCAAATTAGCTGTGGCAAATTGTAGAAATGCCACAGTTGTAAGAGTTTATAACCATGAAGATTACACACGTATCATTGCTGCGGTTTGCTGTGAGAGCTCTTCTTCGCACTGAACAAAATAGCTGTCATCACAATGAATGCATTTCAGTTAATAAATCCTCCCACAAGCACACTAGTTCTTTCTGACATAAAGAAACATCTTTTATTAACTTATTATCTTGTTAGAAAACCGTAAAGTTTATGCATAGGACCACACCAAAGATTGACTATTGAAGCTAACGGATAAACAATGAATATGTATTGGCAACCAGAGTTTAGTCCAATAAATCGAAAAATATGATAATCTATTTTCGCACATTTTGTTATGCCGTTGTGGCTTTTTTACTTGCTTGCACTGAATAAATTTGGCAGGAAGAAAAAAAAAAACTAGAATGATGTAATTTTGATTAATGTTTTATTTCATGAGAAAAATGCATTAAAAAAGTTGCAACATATACAGTACATATGTGCGACGTACAATAATATCTATCTTTTCAATTTATATAAAAAAGGTAAAAGAATTGCTAATATATGGAATCTGATGTGTTATAAAGCACCGACAGAAAATATGCGGCAGCGACAGGTCAAGAAGGAATAACATGATTAACCTATTAGTGAACGAAAATCTTTAGAAACTAGTAACCCACAAACAGTCCCATCAGTCATTTTTTTATGACATAGTTAAGACCTAATATTTTATTCTTTGCAAAATATATTAATTAATGCTATCGGATTTTCGAAGAAATGAAATAAGAAAACTGGCTTTAAGAGGTGAAACAGATACTACAGATCTCTGGGTATAGAGATATTTGATATTATCGAAATTCAGTCCAGATATCTATCGCATTTTTCCTTTTTTGGCCAAAGACTAAAACATATTTCAGTATGTCAGGATCTGCAGTTACTTTGAATTTTTTTTCTGTATGAAGCTAATTCAGATAATTTCAAAACCGCTTCTTATCTTAGAATAATTAATAATAATAAGACATTTTATAGGTTTCGAGACTGATAAACATGTAGGAAATGAAAAGCTTGAAAAGAAATGTGAATTTTATGGAAATAATGGTGTCGAAGACGAATACCATTTAGTTTTAATCTGTCATCCATTCTTCTTACTTATTAAAAATCTTATAGTTTTCTTTATTATTGGCAGTAAACTATACAATTATTCAATAATCACGATTCTACAACTGTAAGAGAAAAAAGAGACACAAATTCGAAGTTAATATAACTATAATGCATTCCATCTAAGATTGTATTTTTCTCGATCTCAATGAATTATGTATACAACGAATTTCTATTGCATGTATCGATGCATTATATGTGCGCTATGAATGATTTTGACTACGCCCAAGTAAATACAATACAGATATGTTTTTTTCTGTGAATAATAATAATAATAATAATAATAATAATAATAATAATAATAATAATAATAATAATAATAATAACAACAACAATGACAGCATACCATTTATATTTATTTCACAAAGCATGTATGATGTCCACGCAAATAATTTGGAAAAAAAATTCATACATGTATAAATTATCTTTACATCAACAAATTAGGGAGATGATTGAGATAGACCGAACAATAATATTAGATGGAATGCGTTACAGTCATATTAACTTTGACTTTGTCCTTTTCTCTTACAGTTGTAGAATCGTGATTATTTAATATCATCTACAAGGCAGGTAAAAAGAAGTCGAGCATGAGATTGTGTGTGTGTGTGCGTGTGTGTGTGTTATTTGAATTTTTAACGTAGCTTTAAAAATTTTTCAGTCATATAGTGATGTCAAGCACTGAAGCATCATGCCACAGACATGTTGAATGATGTCCTAGACACCAGGCCGACATGTCCTAACACTAACCTCTTAATGCTGAGCGCCAAGCGAGGCAGCTGTTAGTACCATTTTATGAGTTTTTGGTATGACTTAGCCGGGTACCTACGACCTCCCGCATCCGAGGCGGACGCTCTAACCACTAGGCCACTGGAGCGGTTAGTATGAGAATGAAAACCTTTGATGTAAATATAATTGTTACACAAATATATGAATATTTTTGTGGGAGTTAACGATATCCATAAGATAATGTTAAATTGAAGTTTTATGACTCTCGTTAGCCTTTCATCTGTACTGAAATATTATTCCAATCCATGGAAATATTAAATACTTTCCGGACAGAAAAAACTGAGGACCTTTGCTAGACTTCTTAAGATGACAATTGTAAGATTAAGCAAGCAGTTTCCCACAGAGATAAAGAAAACATAACCAAAAATTATCATTGATATTTGAAAAAACAAAACAAGGGCGGTTCGAAAGAAAACTTAGTGACTAACAAGTTATTCATAGATAGAAAACAGGTGACACTACCCGCCGTTCAAATGAGAGATGAGATTGAAAAACTAAGGGAAATTCGGTAAGGATGAGGACACAACCATGGCCAAAAGTTAGGAAGCAACTAATGTGACGTTGAAGATGAAGAAGGGGGTAACCGGTCACCTAACTATGCACTTAGAATATGTGTGTGATGAGGAAGAAACGGACTGGTTCACTATCTGAATTTATAATAAAGGCATAGAAGAAAAAAAAACAACAAAGAAGTCGACTGGATTTCTTGCAAAATTGATTTAATAACCTTGAAAGAAACAGAGCTTAAACAAAATGCTTACGCTGATTTGTACGGTGACCAAGTTCATCACTTCCAGAGAAAATTCGTTAAGAAAACAAATGAGCTACTGCATTATATGAAAAGCAATATCTTGTAAAAGGTATGCAAGTTCTGCTTAGTTTTTTTTATTGCAATGTTTAGCTAAAGTTATCAAAGGGTTATTTTGGTTTTGATGATAATGTTGATATTTGCTTCGTTTGTACGCGACATGAGCAATCACCAATGCACAATGATCATAATTTCTATTTATTTTTGTAAGTTACTCATTACATCAGGAGGGAAACATTTAAATAGAGATTTTAGCAGAAACTGTCGATTTAAAGGCACATTACATAGAAAATATCTCTACGTTCTTAACACATAACGAGATAAACACTTATGTCCTTCCAATTTGCATGTGCTAAATTATGACAACAAAAAACCGGTAACATTTCTGCGTATCTAGGAAATGAAATAATACTTTCTTGCTATTTCTAGTAGACAAAAGCATAATTGATGAAATTTTCATATGCAGGATGGGAAAATTAACGTTTGTACTAAAGATACCGCTACTTGGTTTAATGGTGACTATAGACACGAAGGAAACTTTATAAATGTCCTTTAATTAATTACAACTATTGCAAATTCAGTGTAACTATAGAAATTAAATAACGAAGACAAAAATATATAAAAACTTATATCGTGCGTGTAAATTACTCTATAATAGATTCAGAAGACAGGAATTGCTTGATTTACGAAAAGGAAATCGTTGTGCGTTTGGGAATCTTGTCAAACACCCTATACGTTATATTGATTATACAAATGATTATTGTGCCTTTTATGAACATTTGTAAGAAACGTACCTGAAATACACTGTTATATTATAGTAGACTACACACATAAGACGAATGAAGAAATGAGTATTTAAGCAAACTGATATTTGTAGAAATGTAAAATCCAATTATAATTAGTGCACTTGGCTCACCTGTAAATAATGTTAGCAATAACAAAGAACCAGGTGTTGAATGTTTTAAATTAACACATTACCAAGTGCTTGAAAGATTATCAAACTGAATTAGACTATCAGTTTTCCTACAATGTTAGACGTCAATCCTGATATTTATCTTGTTTTGGTAGCCGTCTTACTTCCAAAAATAAATAGAAATGTGTGTGTGTGTGTGTGTGTGTGTGTGTGTGTAACGTGTTCCACGATCGACTGACAGGAGAACTAGAGACCAAATTTTCAGGAATACACTTGACACATTTAAACAGATTAAAGTCAAATTGCTTTAGTCGGGCTATACATACTCTGGTATCTTTATCTTAATGGAATCGAATTCTGACACAAGCAGATGGACGCGTTTTCAACCTCTGTTGACATAACATTTCATATAGATGAAATGCAATTGTAGTTGAATACAGTCAAAGTTGGTTTAACGAAACGAATAAAAACACATCAGTGTTGACAAAAGCAATTAGATAGCATCTCGAGATAACACCAATATGGATGCGATCACGCCAGACTGATGGTAACAGATCCTCAACTGAATCACAGGTTATGTTTCCGTATAGAATTCAAGAATAAATTTCCACTGAATTTCATTCTAACAGAACTTTTTATGAAAAGGTACTCTTATTTAGTCTAAACTTCAAAAACAATCTGACAACAGCAATAAAAACAAATTGTTCCCTAAAGGTGTTAAGAACGACTATCTAGATTTCACTAATACACAAGTATTTAACCCAATAAAAAATGTCATCTCATTTAAGCACTTGGGGCAAGTGGTCACTTAACACTTGAACAAAGCAATAAAATATGAAATTTGTCACGTAGAAAAAACAGTCATATCTAAGAAATCAGATTCTCAGGTTTCTAAATGAATAATAAAATACTGTTTACATATGTTTAACACGTGGACCGAAAATGACCGTGGAAATAGCCAATCGTTACCACTCGATGTTTACAAACTTTACGAACCAGAGTGAGATGAAAAATAATGTTAATCTAACACCTTTTGCGTTATGTACAATCAGAATTTACTGGAAAAATATCGAATTCCGTGAAAATAATCATTTCAATACAATGTAATGAAACAAAAATACAAAAGTTAAGTCAAGGTCATACTTGGACTACATGACAAGTAGAATGTATCAGTTGGAAGGACGTCTATTCTTTCCAGAAGAACTGTTGACCATCATTCTCGGGAATCTGTTTTTCGTCTTAGTTTAGTAGTAGAACTGTTGTGTTTGATAGAGGTTTCTCAGTTGGGATTAAAACATTCGACACATTAAGTTGTATTATGATGTGACCAGTTTGGATTGAATTTTACTTTCTTCAAATTGTTAAACTAAAGTTTTTCTTTTCCCTGGAAAAAAACGTGCTGTGATAAAATTCTTAGATAACGACATTTATTGGAATTGATACTGAATTCAAAACTGGAATAATATTTTCTGTGATTCAACAAGAGACTGTTGACACGACAGCATTTCGCTGACCACAACATACGTCATCTCCTTTAATTTCGGATTTCATCGGGACACAAACTCAGTTTCAGTCAGAACTTTTGCTACTAGAACTTATCTTATTAAATTATTGGATTCGTTTTGGATTTAAATCGTATAACTTTCAGTTTTTATCTTAATTTTTCACATTGTATTCTAGGGAAATAAATTATTTGTTCCATTTTAAAAAGCTTGTTGTCTTCACTCTATTCTGTAACTTATCTTATATATATATATATATATATATATATATATATATATATATATATATATATATATATATATATATATATATATATATATATATATATATATATATAGTACATCATTAAAAAATTATGAGTGATTTATTGCTCTAGCAGCATGCCTCCAAAGTCTATAGTCAGTTATCACGCCAAACCATATTGGTCAGATGAACTTAAAGAAATACATAGATTTCAAAAACGAGCTATATAGAATAAACGAGGGAAGACCAACGGATGTTCACTGAATACAATTCTTGCAGAGGATGTAAAGCTCAGAAGAAAAATTTTAGAAATCCGCTACCTAAAATATATGGAAGACGAAATTTAAAAGCACAGAGTAATTTGATGTATGGCATTTCTGTAAACTTCTCAATGTTAAAATAAATTTTAAAAATGTAAATATTTGTCAGGAAATATCGATTGATTGAGTTTGTGCTCGTCATGACGCTTCTATAGCATATGGTTTTGCCAGAGATTATGAGGTCATTCACACGCTAAACTTCAGCCATTGATTTGGCGAAAACATTTTGGCATTTATGCAGTGGGGTATTAAGCCAAAGTCAGCAAGATGGTGAAGGTCATATTGAAGTATTACGTAAAAATGTAGATGAAGCAAAAAAAAAAAAACAACAAACAAACAATCATTAATAGTAAAATAAATACCAAAGCAGCATACTCTATTTGAATTTGCAATGAACAATTAGTCACCTGCTAGGAGTAAACGTCACGAGTGAAGTGTTAGTGAGTTTCCATGATGCCATGGTTTCATTTTAGTAAATTCAGGTCAAAACCAAATGAGTGTCCATGGAATACCTGTGTCCTTATTAAAATCGAGTGGTGTACATTGGTGGTGTGGCTGCAGTGGCAGTTATTACGGTAGGAAACCGGTAAATTGCACAATAGGATCAACAAGAAGGGACTTAACATGTACCCTTTATGTCGCTGTCATGGCAATTGGATGCAGTTTTACTGGCGAGATGTGACTTGAAGCTATAAAGTGACTGGCCTAAGGTGGCGTAATTAAAATAGTTCTCTGTGTTAGGGGATAGTTGAAGAGTTTCTACGGCGTGAACTGCTTACAGTACGGAATGTTGATGAAGAGAAACTATGCAATCTGCGGTTGATAGATATTTGGCAAGTTGGGAGATCTGTAGCCTTGCATTGATTGGAGTAAAATTTATGTATAGAATGGACACGTAGGGCTTTCTAATTTACAATTGAATTTTATAAAAGTCTTTGGAAATTTGGGGTACACTTATGACTTCTAGCGAGCTTGACACCATGCGATCAAGGAAATACCCCTGGTTTGTATTGTAACAATATATTTAGTTACAATCTTTCCTAAAATTATGATAGAAGAAAATTTATCGTGAGTAGGGGTTACTCAATAAATATAATATATAAGAAGAAAGACAAAGAAAAAGAATAAAAAACAACACTGTGCAATGTACATATAATTATGTTATCATATCCACTTAAATTATATGCATGATATATGCTCGGTGGTAGATTTCAATGCTTCCAAGCTGACATTTCACTTTTAGAAATTTGATCCTAGTAAGAAACCGCCAAAGAAAAACAAGGACGCTGGCAAGATCAGAA